ATAGTATCCCTGATTAATTTATGGAAGCCAGTTTCAAAAGCCACAATTTAAAGATGGCTTACATTGAAATTGCCCATAATAACATTTAAAAAAGAATTTGTTGTGCAAAATAGGAAGACAATTGGTTAGCAGGAATTCTTTTAAAATGAAAGGTTTCCAGTGAGGAAGATGTTTCACAGGTCTTAGGTGAATGCAGCGCATCCTGGCTCATTCATGTCATGGCAAAGCAGAGGTGGGAATTATATAGGCCTCCAGATGTTGTTAGATTGCAGCTCCCAGCAGCCTTGCTCAGTCAAGGTAATGGCGAAGAAGCTGAAAGATGCAGTTTAACATGTAGAGAGCCATAATGTTGCCACAGCCAAGCTAAAACATATATAAATATAACGTGGAATCATAAACACAAGCGTGTTTTTCTGTTATATCCCCAGTGGTGCAATGATTAAACCCTTCTGCTGGCAGGACTGAAGACCGACAGGTTGCAGGTTCAAATCCAGGGAGAGCATTAATGAGCTCCCTCTGTCAGCTCCAGCTCCCCATTTGGGGACATGAGAGAAGCTTCTCCTGGGCAACATCCTTGCAGATGGCCAATTCTCTCACACCAGAAGCAACTTGCAGTTTCTCTCCTGTCACAAGATACACACACACACACACATATATGGTGATAAAATAATTCAAAATGAATGAATTAAATAAAATGAATTTCTATAATAATATTGTAGTGTAACCATAGCAGCCACACTGCTATTTTTGGATTTGTTTGGTTTTTTTAATATTGAAAAACAGTTGGGTGGGATTGATGTAGTTTCTGACAGGATAAAGAATGCAGAAACATTTATCTCTTTTTGAAAACCTTCAGTATACAAATTAAAATAAATTGCAATGTCTAATGTAGACTGTTAAGAATGATTAATTGCCTTGATAGAGGATCTTCACATCTTTTGTGTATGGCAAAACAGTGTAAAATATACTGCTCAAAATTGTGCCATCTTCAGGGGAACTTTAATTATAGAATGAAATACTCATCTTACATTGGTCACAGTAGCATAGAAGTCATTAGTTTTCAGAGAGAGGTTCATACATTTCTAAGTGGCATTATGGCCAATTGGGATTTGAAAAGATTTTTATCCATTTCAAGTTTCTCCCCTCCTCTTATACACATCAGGCAGATTAAAATGTAACATTTGGCATTAACAGGAATACATTTTAAATGATCCTGGAAGCACACACATGTAAGTAGGTTCTCATAAAACATTAAAAATTCTTGTGGTACCTTCAACATTATGAAATGTACAACACAATGAATATGCTAATTTTTAATGGTCCACAAGATTTTATATTGCAACAGATTCCCAGTAATGCCTATGGGAAGGGTTCTTAAGCTGTTTTCAGCAGCATCCCAAGACTTTGCAACAACCTCTCAGAGGCACTGTAGAATATGTTAATCTATCCCCTTCTGTCTTTTCACATGGCTTTGCTTTGCTGAGTGGAGGAAGCAGCAGTACTGAAGATGAGCAATAGGACTGTGACTTGATCCACAGCAACATGTTGCTGGCACTGCAAAGCAGTGACTATGAAGACATGGAGTGTGAGGTGAAACAGTAGAAGGCTGGACCCTCTTCTACAAGAGCCACCACCAGTGCCATCATCCATACTCTAAGGCTACTCCCTCCTCATGGGTCTTGCAGTATTCAGAGGAGGACTGTGGTGCTGGTGACAGCAGTATCACAACTAGTCACAGGCCTAAGCCCACTGAAGCAATTTCTCTTCCCCCTCTTGTAGATGTGAGGCAAAATAGGAGCACTTTGTAATTAGCAAGACTATTGCATTTTTCTCAAAGAAGAGGAGGAGGAAGAAACGGTGGTTTTTATCATCATGGTCACTTATGTGTAGTAGCAGCAATATGTTACTAAGGGCCAAGTCACTGCTCTCCTTTTCTATGGGTCTGTTTCTCAACCTAGCCAATCCTTCACTAACCATCCACCATAGGAGGAGCTGTACAAGCTGATGGCATTGCTGTTCTAGTCCAGCTCAGGACACTCTCCAGACACTCTCCAGGGTGCTTGGGGAGGGGGATGAGGAGATGGCAGTGGTGGCAGACATGTGATAGAAACACCAACAATTGGTGATTGCTTTAAGAGTAGTCACCATCTCTAGTAGAGGAAAGAAGCTGGTGATCCTGGTTTTCATCTGTTGGAAAACATATGAGTTGTTAGGAAATAAACACTTATTAAGTTGTTTGTATTCAACTGGGAGAGAGAAACAGCATTTTTAAATATTTCTTTTGGTCTAGGAGAGCCATGAAGACTTTACTGAGATATGGTGTCATGAATTGAGACCGTTTGGGAATTTCTAGCCTATATAACTCTATATAATGTAGCCAGTAGAGATCTGGATATGCGATTTCTATTCATACAGAGTCGGTTCATACAGTTGTCAATTATCTTAAATTGTGTTGATAGAATATCATATTCTAATTTAAACTATATTTTCTTGGGTGTGTAATGTATATTCTAGAGAACTTCAGTGCAGTAATAAGGATTTCAGTTCAGATTCTCATACTGCCATAGGTTTTCTGGTTCTGCCATCTCAATTACAGTTGCATATGGAAAATGACAGACTAGTGTTATGTTATTAACCCCTCCTCACACCAGTGCACAAACACTTGTACACTGTGCTATCCTCTTCAGCAGCTATCATGCGATAAAAAACAATTAGAGCATTTTATACAAAGAAGTAAGACTGACCTGGGAACTCCAGCTTGTTTATATATTCATTGTTTTATATTTCAAAGGCAGACAGCTCTACTCCCAGAGAAAGTACAGAATGTCTTGCTGAATTGTACGGTTGTTTATTTTTAGATAGATAGCAGCAAAGGAAGTTAGAGGACCAGATAGGGTACTGTCTTTTCTAACACTTATTTTCATGTCATTGTTAAAATTACGCATTGTAGTTAAGTGACTCATTGTTCTCTTTTAGTTATTCTAACATGTGATTATATGGGAGTTGCTTCTTCTTGTACAATGAGTTGGCAGAGGGAAAGCTAAATCTGTCACAGGCACTAGCAATGTCTACATCAGAAACTTTGCTTCATAAATTGTAATTATTACTGAATTACCTAGTTCACATACTGTGGAAAGCATGGAGTTTGCACTATTTCTCCAGTTTTACCTTTTTGCAATGAATGAAAGTTTATCTCCTACTATTTACCCAAAGTGATGTACATTTAGATGAAATAGGGATCCTATTTAACCTGAGATAAATAAAAGGCATTTCAATACTTTCTGATTTTAGTTCCAAGCATTATCTTTCATTAGATCACATCTATGGCTGGGAAGGAAACCCTGACCATCTATATGCTGCTGAGACACAAATACCCATCATCCTTGATCTTTGTTGATGTTCATTGGATATATTGCAGTTAGAGTCTAACAGAATTGAGAGGGCTGCACATTTTTTGATTATGGTTTATAGTACTATAGCTGCTGAGGCTGCTATAGAAAAGGCCGGAACATCTCCAGCAAGCTCTCCTGCTCCTGGCTTTGGGGTTCCTCATGAGGAAGACTGCAACCCCAGGCCATTTCTAGCTGGGAGTGACTTACCAACTCCAGGAGGGGCAGCTATAAAAACTGAGGCAGAGCTAGAGGATTCTGCTGCTGTGGCTGCTATAGAAGAGGCCGGAACATCTCCAGCAAGCTCTTCTGATTGGGTTGTGTTAATTGTATCTTTGTTATTTTGATTTATAACAGAATTAGGTTGTTGAGTGTTAAGCCCCAGTACACAATATTGACACCCCTTGACTGTATGGTTAACTGCTTCAAAAATCTTGGCACCTTGTACTCTTAACCTTATAGCAGTTTGTACCACCTTACCTCGTGATAATGCATAAGATCATATTTTACCAGGAATTTAGGTTGTGTCAAGGAGGGAGGGAGGGAATCGGGTGACTGCTTGCTACGGAGGGTGAGGGAGGGAGGGCTTTAGTTGTTATATCATTCTAACCTAGGATTCTGCATAACTATGGGAAATCTATGAAGTTTGAAAATAATGATGTGGAATTTGTAAGCTTTTAATCTATATTACTGTTTTAATTGTTTTATAATTTTATATAGTATGTTCATTGTTATGTACACGATGCGGCATTGAATTTTGCTGTAGATTGTAAGCCGCCCTGAGTCCCCTTCGGGGTGAGAAGGGCAGGGTATAAAAATAGCAAATAAATAAACAAATAAATACTAAAGAGCCCCGAATTAATTCAGCTAGGATCAAGAAAGTGATCCAGTTTCCATCAGTCTTTGTCTGGTCAGTAGGATTGTAGGAACAGTAATCAACCTCTGCAATAGATTCCTCATACTTGCAGATGGGGGAGATGGTTAAGCTGAGAGACATCTGGCTCATTTAGCATGTGATAGTAGCGACGTGCAAATAAGCATGCTTCTTAAAGGAAGGCTTCCAGCTATAATATGTACCACATAGTTTGATGGAATTATTATTTCTCTTTAATCAAAAGGGAGGACACATATCTACAAAACCTCATTAGGCATAAGGTTGAGGTTTGAAAAGTCTACTTCTTGTTTAAATATTTAATAACTGATCTAGCTAAGTCTGTGACATTAACCACAAGATAGTCTGCTAAAACAACAAATAGCACTTAGCCCGGGAAACTTTCCTGTTAGTGGCAAGATTTGCTGGAAACAGATACAAAAATGAAGCACAAGTTTAAAGAGCAGTTTAAAAATGTAAATCAGAAAATGAATTAGGGTGGGTAGGGAGTCAGAGTGGGAACTCCTTTTATAGAGTAACGCCATGGAAAGTTGTTTCTTACCACCATTGTTTACATGTTGGAAAGTGCCTACATGAAATATTTGTTATTATTTATGCTGAAAATATATAGATAAATTGTAGAAAACTCAGATTTATTGCAATATAAATGGAACTTGGTAGGTTGATGCAGAAGAACCTGAGTTTTGTATAGTAATAACTTATTTATGTATGTTTTCTAGGATTATTTAACAATTCACAAATATGGCAACGCTGCTAGAAAAGACCTATGGAACACTCTGTCAGAGGTAAAAAAAATCCCATTACATACCTTATAGTCAAGTATGGTTGCTATTGTCATTTTATCTTGGCAATTATAAGAGAAGATGCTTATAATTTGCTCTTGTCAACTACAGATCTAGAACACTTAATGCTTATAAATTGTTGCAATGCATTGCCAGAAACTATGCAAAAGACACAGCACAGATAATGCCTTTCCCCAAGATATAGCATAAGTATCTCTGTACTAAAATTTTAATCAGTTTTACATTTTTTTCAATGTGAAAGATATAATGTTAATGTGAAAGGTTGAAGTGGTGTTCCAAACTTCCAATCTCTAGGGATGTTTTGGGATGCTCTTAACCATAGTTTAGAGATCAGGAAGGTGGTGCAGAACTGTACATTTCATTTTGGGGTCTTTGTTTTCTCTTTCCTTACTGTATTTAATTCTTAAACCAAATGATGGTTGCAACCTAAACTAGAGTTTAAATAGTGTAACTCTAAACGACATGGTTAGAATTGTACACTTGTATTGTTCTCTATCTCGTTGTAGTAAAAAGTGACATTGCAGTCAAAATAAGTAGGAAAATCCTTCATTCCCATTTCTTTTCTGATTACTATTACAGTTTTACTTTTAAAGACAGCTTAAGGAAATATTAAGCACATCAATATCTTGGAATTATCTTAATTATATATCCATAGAATTATAAATCTTTAAATCAGCTTAAAATCAACTTAGATCAATGTATCTGCATAAAGCATGTTATGCAAATATGTGCATTTTTCCCATATAAAAGATTGTACTTGTGGTATTATGTCAGTATATTAAATGGGATTTTATGTTCTTTTTTCCTTTAAAGGCACTTAGAAAGGTTGGGAAATTTGTGAATATTCAAGTAGTAATGGATCAGTGGACACTCCAGATGGGTTATCCTGTTATCACCATCATGGGAAACGAAACTACAGACAATATTGTAGGAATCTCCCAGGAACACTTTATTTATGACCTCGATGTCAAAACTAAAGATTCTAGTCTTGGAAACAACAGGTACTTACTTAATATAACTACAGCACTTTTCAACTGTCTCAATACATATTATATTGGTGTATAATAAGAATTGCCCATAATAATTGAACGATTATAAATAATAAGTAAATTACTATATTTTCTGATATAGTTCTATAAAAACAGTGATCTAGTGGTGCCAGTATCTGTACATTTTCCTTTTTTAAATTTTTATTTTTTTATATTTAAGTGTTCCCAACATTTATGCATCAGGGCAGATATCAATGTGGGATTACTAGATGAAAGCTTACATCAGAATTTCAGTAATAGGCACTTCACTGTAGAATTAAAGCAGTTTGATGCCATTTTAACAGCTGTAATTCAATACAATTGAATCATGATAGTTGTAGTTTGGTACGGTGCTAGTTTTATTTGGCAGAGAAGATCTATTCAAACTACAGCTACTCAGCATTAAGCCATGTCAGGTAATTTCATGTCAAATTGCATTAATTCTACAGTGTTGATGCAGTCTTAACCTGTATTCACACTATAGAATTATAGCAGTTTGAGACACCATATTCACTGCCATGAGCAATTTTATGGAATTATGTAATTTATTAGGTATTCTGTTAGATATTTACCCTCCTTTGTCAGAGAACTCTGGTGCCATAAGAAACTAGGATGGATCAAAGCACTTGAAGTGCTATCAAACTATAATTCCATGAGGTGGGTTGTCAATTAGTTTCTCTCAATCAGCTGACCCGTATTGTTTTCTTCCATTCGTTTGGGCATTGAATGTTTGCCTTTTTTATATGTAAACTGCCCCAAGTCCCCTTGAGGAGAGAGGGCAGACTAGAAATAAAGATTGTTGTTGTTGTTGTTGTTGTTGTTTTCAACTATGCAGGTGGGTTAATTGTGATGAGTACAGTTATACATTCACACAAAGATGGAAACAGTTTCTTGACTTTTAAATTTGAACTTGTACTCAGTATAATAGACAGTTAAAAAGCAGAAATAAGTCTTGATGAGGAAGACTTGATTTATTACTGTTGGTAAAAGGTACCTGTTAAAAATAATTTACTGAAGTTGGATTTGTTATGCCCCTCCAGATGTTGTTGAATTGCAGGTCCGAGATGTACCAGTCAGAAAAGCCAATGGTGAGGAACTAGGGCAGTTTGGGTGCAACAACATCTAAAACAGGCATGGGCAAACAGGCCTGCAGGCTGAATGCAGTCCCTTGGTGTATAATAATCCCTCTGCCAGTTACATGCGGCTGTACAGATCTCTTCAGAGAACTTTGCACAGCTGCGTGTCAAGCCCTCCTCTTTTCCAGAGGACAGGGTGGGCCATTGTGTCCTCTCATGAAGAGGAATGCCCTGCAGGACATGCAGCTGTGCAGGACTTGAGAGCCTTGCCCAACCACGTGTCAAGCCCTCCTGTTTGCAGGAGGACATGGCAGGCTGCTGTATCCTCCAGTGAAGAGGGGCACCCTAATGTCTAATTTCTGTGTAATTATATCCCAGACATCTAGGAATATATCTGCCTTCTTTTGAATGGCTTTGCAGCAATACAATCTCATACAAAAGTCCAACAAAAAAAGAAAAAATGTAGACAAAGATCTATTAAAATAAATTTGTCATGTTGTAGAATTTAGCCATCTCTTGGTTCCCATCAATTTCAAATGCTACAGCATTGAGAAACCATCTTCAATACTTATTTCTGGTTCATTTTTATCTTTTGCTTTAATTTTATATGTACCTCAGCTCAATTCACAGAAGGAGTTATTTGAACATGAAAAATAAATATTTTATACTGTAGGTAGCTGTGTTGGTGCCACAAACCACTATACATCATTAAAAGCTTACTATAAGATAGAACAGCATCATGAAACACTTTGATGATTCATTAGTATTATGCTGTCACATTTTTTATTATTATTAACCAAAATTCCAGGGTATTTGTTTTTCCAAAAAAAATCTGTAGATCTAAAAAAAAGCAGTAGCACCATATTTAGTTTTTCATGAGAAACACATTCAGTTGTCATGTAAGAGATTAAAAGTCTGTTCACAATGGGGTGTCATGGATGAACTGTCTGCAAAAAGCTTTATTTCATGTTTCTAATAATGATTTGTTGCCAGTGTGCTATAATTAAGCTTGTATTGTTCCCTAGAGCAGGCCTTAAAACTTCCTCCCTATATTTATTTTATTAAATTTTCTTTTCCTCTTCTCCCAGTAAGGGATTTAGGCCAGGCACATATAATCAGGGTTAGGATTAATGAAGCAATCTGCTCTGTTATGTTTTAATGTTTGTACATCTATAATAGTAAAAGAGGAGATATCTGTCTCTGTGGCAGCTCTTAATTATCAGAGTATTATACTAGGGGTTTCAAACTTCATTAGAAGGCTTTTGGTTGTTGCCTAAGAGTTGATTATACTGACACCAAACCCTGACCCCCCCTCTTCTCCTTAGGCCCCATCTACACTACCATATAAAATCCATATTATCTGATTTGAACTGGATTATATGGCAGTGTAGACTCATATAATCCAGTTAAAAGCACTAATGTAGATTATCTGCTTTGATAATCTGGATTATATGTCAGGATAAAAGGGGCCTTAGTCATGCCTGTGCCTTTGCTGATGTCAGCAAAGATGCCCAGTGACATCAAGAAGTTTTTGTTGACTGGCTGTTGCAGTGCCAGCAACCACAAATCAGTAAGAGTGTCCATACAATGAGGCTCTACCGGTTTTGGCCTGACTGGATGGTGGACTACTGTTTCTTAAACCATGTGCCCTGGCCTCAAATTTGGTCCCCTTAGTGTAATGTTGGGACCACAAAAAATTGGCAACAGTAAAAGGTTTCTGAACACCACCCATTTATATAAATCTTTTAGCAACAATGTGCAGTATTTACAGTGGACTCTGGAGAAAATGTTTCAGCTGTACTCCACAAAATGGAAAATCAGCCTGTTTAGTAAGACTTGCAAATGCTGGTTTATTATTAGTAAATGTTTTATTTTTATATCTATTTTATAAACCTATATATTTAGGGTCATGCAAAAAAATTGAGGCAGAAAGGGGCCTCGAGCGGAAAAGGTTTGAGAAGCTGCGCTCTGGACACTATTCCTGCTTCTTTTGTGGATCAAGGGTAGAGTATCTGAACAGCTCAGTGGAATCCAGAGCTGGTCTGATACATTTCTGCTCCAGACCAGCCCCAGATTTTGGTATATATGTAGATGAGCCCTATGTTGTACTACCAGGTTCTAAGTCTACATTTCAAATATAATGCTTGCTAGAAACAAACAAAAATAGTCCAGTTGTTGTCAAAGTTCTTCCTCCCAGGATGACATTTCAACCTAGGCAATCAAAATATAACTCATGCTATAACTCATGGGGAAAAAAATTAAGTTCTACAAAAGATAAAGGACCTCTTTGAAACACTATTACTAGATTTGTGAGGCAGGGGGAAAAGTACAATAACAACTGGGGGGGTAATACTAAGGTTAGATTCTTGCGGTTTATAAAAGGGCAAGAAAATAGGAAAGGGTACTTCGAAATACAGCTGACAAGATTCCAGAGATGTCATTAAAAGGGACTATGCAAGTACTATTTCTCTCTTGAATTAGTAAATGCAGATTCTGGCAATACCTGGTACCATTTTGGTAGGAAACCAGATAAGGGTTTTGTAGATTTCTGAAATGGGAAAATGATGGAAGGTCAAGGAAATTTTGCTAAGTTTGCTAGTGTATTTTTAAAAAAGGAAAATGGGAGATGGCTTTCTGAGGGACTAGTACTAATACCTGAGAATTTTAAATTACTTGAAAATAAGTGAAAATAAGTAAACAGGAAGCACCATGAATGGCTTTTGGATATATGAAGTTTGGACCCAGACAACAACAGCCATAATTCAACTGATACTACTTAAGTACTCAAAACCAATGTAATATTGTTTGCTAACTATTTTTATTCTATGCTTTCCTTCTTTTTCCTTGAATGTATTGTAGTAAATTATAACTATAATTCCTTATAAACTCTTTATGGTTACCTGTAGCTCTTATACAGGTGGCATAGCATTATGCAGGAGCTAGCTGTTTAATGAGATGTAATCATACAGTGGCCAGAATGGGGCTTCCTGTTCTTTCAGCGGGATAGCGGAACCATAATAATATATATTTAACCAAGCATATTGTAGGTTTTTTAAAAGGTCCTCGAAACAATTCAGTTTTGCATTGCCATCATCTGGTTAGATTACATAGTCTTTCTCTTTGCCCAATGTGGCAATTGGATTGTTTCAAGGCAGAAGGGAGGTTGGTCATGCAAACATGCAATTTCCAAATTATTCTGAATTTATATAAGGCTGTATGTGTTACATTCCTAAACTGCATGGATGCATTCAATATCGAAAGCAGCTTGTGAGAATGGGTATGCATATTGTTTGGGGTCATACTGTGATATTCACATCTGAGAAAGTCTATATTTTCAAATAATTTCTTTTCATTTAGTTTTCTGAAATCACATAGACATAATCTTTTGGCAGATAAAAAAAATCTAAAAATCTACCCGTTTCCCTCTTTCCCTAAATATATATTTTTTTAAAGAATTGGAAAAGTAATATTAGAGCTTTCCAATGGGAAGTGTTTGGCCCTGAAAGTGCATTGACTAGTTTACTAGATTATTCTTATTGATGTGTGTCTAACTCAGCATTTAATGCCACTAAACCAAGATATTTTTCTTTTGAAAAGAAAATTACAGAGATGTAAGATTAAGAAGCAAAGAAAAAGGGGGAGTTAGAGACAAGAATAGCAGGATCCCCAATAATATCTAAAGGATCCTGAAAAGTTAATCTACCAGAAGAAAGAAGATGCAAGACAAAAAGATAGATATGTTGATTATGAAGAAGGTAGTGTTAGGGCAGGAACACTGCCTAGGGCTTTCTGTTTTCTATTCCTTAACTTTCCTGTCTACTATGTTTCTCTACCTACTCTGTACCCACTTTTCTATTCTTTTGTTTTAGTCTAAGTAAGAAATAATTTTCTTCTTCT